GGGAATCTTACTATGCAAACTCAGACTATCATCATCAAATGATACTGTTTTCTGATGAGATTAGGAACTTGGCAGACAAAGATACTATATATTAGATATAGTACATTTAGCTTTCTATAAAGACATTGGACTTGGTACCTCACCACACCCCAATTAAAAACTAGCACTCTAGAAACGAACAGCTTACAACATTAATGCAGGACTTCTTGCTACAATTTATAAAACAAAAACTGTCTAACTGATGGGTTTCTAGGAGGTCACTGTAATCAGGAACAACATCCCTAGGGAGTGCTTGCAGTGGGATTCCTGCAGGATCTGTTTTTGACCTGCCATTCATTCAATACTTTCACAATTTGACAGATAACAAAATCATTGCTGACAATATCCAGATGATATATTGACAGACTGGGGAATAAGAGCTATCTGGATTGCTTGGCAAGGCAGGCTCATATGAATACCATACAAGGCCATGCATCTAGGAGCAAAAAAGACTAGTCAGTCATGATTGCAGCATGGGGAAAGGAGGCATGCATTCAAGTGCAGGGATTCTGAAAAAGTAGAGAAGCAAATAAGCATGGGCTCCCTGGAGATGCCATAGCTAAGAGGACTACAGTGATAATTGGAAGTATAAGCGTAGGACCAGTCAGCTAAGGAAGGAAGGTGATGCTAATGAGACCACAGTTAAAAGCACCATGCCCAAGCTATATGCTTCAAAAGAGAGATACTGAAATATTGCAGGTGCTATGAGCAAGATTTGAGGTTTAGAAAAAACAACCTGAGAGGAAAAGATTAAGGAAGGCTTGGAAAGATTAAGGTGACTTGATCTCTAAATTCCTAGACTGGCAGAAGAGTTGTGAGAGTAGATGGCTCTAATTGATCAGAAAAAGGCAAAAGTATGACCCACAGCTGGAAGGCTTCATAAATATCTGTTTGTTACCTCTAGTCTGAATTTCAGAGCAAGTGTCACAAACTACTGGAACAGCTTGCTTGCAGTTATGCTGGAGTCTCCCTCACTTAGAGCCTTTTAAGCAAGATGAGAAGCTTTCCTAACGAATATGCTGCAACTGAAGGGCAACATAGTGTTTTCATGCAGAAATCATGGGTTGAGCTTCTCTGGCCTGTGTTATTCAAGAGGTCAGCCCTGACAGTCATCATCAGGGATCCTGGTTTTAGATGATAAAAAAAAAATCCCCAATTTTTGGATTTAAAAAAGTAACCCAAAAATCCCCCTTTTTCCATGATTAAAATGAAACACTGCTATATCTATATCTATCTATTAGTGGTGTTTCGTTTTAATCATGGGGAAACGTAGATTTTTGGGTTACTTTTTTAAATCCAAAAATTGGGGGGTTTTGGTTTTCTTTTTTTAAATCAGCGACAACCAGGTCCATAATGGTCAGTGATCCTTAGTCTAGGCCTTACAGCCTATGTATTAGTCAGTACAAGCTGCTTGTTACTTACCCGTCTTCACAGGTGAAATTTATTGTTGAACCAAACTGGAGATCCGTAAGAATGACCACTTGGCCATTGTCCGGTGCCGCAGGATGAGGGCATTGTCTTGCTAGAAGACAAATGCATTGGAGTTACTCTTTATCTGTGTGTGTTGATGGCTTGGTAAAATATAATACCACGGAGAAGCAAAAATCCTGCGTCATTAAACCCCATCCATTTTCTCCAGGGTCTGTCAGATCAGGACACACATCCTTCTTGGTAACTTGGCATTTTTGTACACATTGGTTTAAATTAAATTTCCATTCTATTGACATTTTTATTTGGAAATATTACATATGTGGCATTTAGGAGCCTTCTTCTGGCAGAAGTATTTTTTAGTTATACTTCAAAATCCATGTTTAGCCCATAGGAATTAATTTTTAAACATCTCCAGGAATGCCAAACAAAAGA